CAGGAATTATTTATGGGAGTGTAAATTGATAGAATCATGTTGGAAGACAATTCAGCATTACATTGTAAAGTTGAAGCTATGCATACTTTATCACCCAGGAATTCTGAGTTATACTTCTAGAGAAACTCAGACACATGCACTAGGAGACATGTAGAAGAATGTTCATAGCAGTATTGTTCTTAATAACCAAAAAACTGGAAACAATTTAATGTCAATCGATAGGAAAATGGTAAATGAATTACTGTCTAGTCACATAAAGATGAATGAATTGCAACTACTCACAAAAACATCAGTGAATCTTAGAAATATAATTGTGAAAAGGCAAACTATAGTGTAGCAAAATTTTTGTTTAAACCTTTTATTGAAATAGAATATACATATGAAAAAGAATATATGTGTGTAGTTGATGAATTTTCATAAAATATACATATGTAATCATTGCCCACATCAAGAAAGACTTTATTAGCAAGTATTATACAATTTTAGTACAGCTATACAGCTAAAAATAAAAAACTAAACAATATTTTACATATAGATACCTACATTTGTGACAGAACTATCGTTTTTTAAAAAGCTAAGGGGATGACAAACACAAAATTTAGGTTAGTACTTACCTGTGGGCATTGGGGTCAGGGAATTCACAAAGAAGAAATACACTGGTGACATTTTTTGTCATTTCTAGTTTTTAAGTTGAATGGTAGATTTATGGGTAAAGGAGAACCTTTTCTTTGTTCAAAATGTTCTGACACCAAAAAGGAAAACATTTTCTTTATTCAGAATGTTCTGATACCAAATGTGTGGGTTTTCCATACCAAGCAGTTCTCCAATTCTATGTGGATACCAGTTGTGTGTCCTGCAATTTAATTTGTTCTGACACAACTACCCAGAATTAGTGCAGACCCACTGGACTGCTCTGGACTTCTGAAGCAAATCACAGGTAGTGCAAGTGACTCACACTTCTGTCTAACTTGGCTAAAGTTTGGGGACTCCCACGATCCCCTCTTCAGATTCTATAATTTGCTATATATAACAGCTCACAGAACTCAGGGAGACACTTTACTTACTATTACTAGTTAATATGAAGGGTACTATAAAGGATACAAATGAAACAGATGAAGAAGGTGAGGTCCAGAAGGGTCCCGAGTAAAGGAGTTTCTGTCTTTGTGGAGTTTGCTGTGCACCACCCTCTCAGCAGGGCACCCCCCTCTCAGCAGGAAGAAGCAGGGAAGCTCTCTGAACCCTTTTGTTTAGGGTTTTATGGAGTTCCATTTCATAGGTGTGATTGATTAAATCATTGGACATTGATGATCAGCTCATTCCCCAGCCTTTCCCCTCCTGGGCAGTCGGGGTGGGTGTCTAAAAGGTTCAATCCTCTAATCATGTGATTGGTTTCTCTGGCTACCAGCCTCCATTCTGAAGCTATTAGGACCCATCTGGAGTCACCTCATTAGCATAAACTCTGTTATGGTTGAAAGGAGCTTATTATGAATAACAAAAGATCCTCTTCTCACATCTATCACTCAGGAAATTCCAGCCATTTTAGGAGCTCTGCCAGGAACCAGGATGAAGACCAAATATGCATTTATTGTTATGTTACAGTGGGTTTTCTTTTGTTATGCTTCATTGTCTATATATGTTACAAGTATTTTATGTGTATTAATATTTCCTAAAAGATTATTTTAAAGAAGGAGCTCTATAAGATTTTTTTGATTAGAGAAGGTATTTCAGATAAAAGTACATGTGTGGAGGTACATGTGGTTGTTAGGATGAGTAAAACGTAAAGGGAAATAAGTCTGATTTAGAGTTCTAATAGTGTGAGTTAAAAGTTAAAAAGATAGGTTTTTACCATATCATGGTGAATCCTAGGTGAAGATGCTATTCTGGAGTAAAAATTATTTTGGTTAAGGCATGTTACGTTTTTGGTGAGATATCCAAATAGAAAGGTATTTACACCCAAAAATTGGAATTAAAAAAAGTCTAGCAAATAAAAGGCAATAGATGTATGGTTTTTATAAAGTGAAGAATAATACATTTGCAGTATAAATAAAACTAAATATTTGATTTTTATATTGAAAGAAATATGGAATAGTGAATGACATTCAAAGAATTTGGAGTTATACCTCTGCCCTGCCATTTGATATCCATGTGTCCTTGGGCAAGTGATGGAAACTTTTCTGTAGAAATGAACTTTTCTATAGAAATGAACATATCTCCTAGTATTGTTGCAGAGGCTAAATAAGAAAATGAAAAGCGCAGGTCCTCGTGCCTACTGTATGTTAAGTATTCAATAAATCAAAAACAAATATAAATAAATCAAACTATCACTTTAATAAAGAAAATATTAGGTACATTATAGAGTTGCTTTTTACTGCCTACATATGATACCACTTTATTTTATAAATCAGATAAAAGTATTTTCTCTTTTCTACTGATTTTCCCTTTGTTTTTATTGCAGATCAATGTAAGAGTAACAACAATGGATGCTGAACTGGAATTTGCCATTCAGCCCAACACAACTGGCAAACAGCTTTTTGACCAGGTATCATTTACCAAATGAAGTATGTAATTTTGACACCATAGTGTGGATGCTACTGCATACTTCTTTGTGTTTTTTTTACCTTTACTTACAATGCAACAATGTAGCACTTGGAATATTTCACAGTACCTGTTCAAATGTCTTGAATAACTGTAGGGGATAGTTTTTCTCATTCCTAGATTTTGAGGGAGAGGACTTTTAAAAAATAATTATTAGCAGGTATTTATTTAACATCTGTTATGCAAATCATTGTAACGAGGACTAAAAGGAATTCAGAGATATTCTCCAGGGCTTCCCTGGTGGCGCAGTGGTTGAGAGTCTGCCTGCTGATGCAGGGGACACGGGTTCGTGCCCCGGTCTGGGAAGATACCACATGCCACGGAACGGCTGGGCCCGTGAGCCATGGCCGCTGAGCCTGCGCGTCCGCAGCCTATGCTCCGCAACGGGAGAGACCACAACAGTGAGAGAGGCCCGCATACTGCAAATAAAAGAAGGAAAAAAAAAAAGATATTCTCCATAGTCCATGAGTGGAATAGGTGGAGATCCTAGACAGCGGGTGTAACCAAGCAATGGACTTGTGTTCCCGCAGCACAGAAAGCCAAACTCTTGAAAGTGAGAGTTTGCAGCAAAGTAAGGATTTATTTCAGGGCACCAAGCAAGGGAGTGGGAGACAAGTCTCAGATCCACTCCAACCCAGCCTTTGAGTTAGAGGGGTTTTTTAAAAGGGAAAGAACAAAGAAGCTGGGGTTAATCATCATCTTGTGACATTTTCTGTGACATTTCTTAATCGTAGAAGAAAGGATGTCTCTGGTTTATGATTCACTAGCCAGGTGGTCCATGACTTGGTGGTCTGTTAGCTTATCTTGCCCTGGAGAAGTAAGCTGTACATTAATGATGATATCTGATGATACAACAGCAATTTTAGTACATTAATGATATTATCAACAACAGCAGTTTTGGTCATCTGACTCTGATTATTAATGTTCATTTAGCACAGGATTAAGGTCAGAGGGGACAAGAAAGGAAATAAAGTTGGTTAGAGAGGTTAATCCTAAACTCGGTTTTAGGGGAACTTGGTTTCAAGGGGATGGCAGGAGCAAAGGCACAGGCTATAAACAGGCACCTGACAGCAGTTTGATGTCGTCGGCTCATAATATGCTAGCCTGGAGTTAGAACATGTTAAAGAACTTGGACTACTGATACTGTCTTTTTTTTCCTCACTCTTGAGAGCACATTTGAGCCACCTTGGGGAGCTTTCAAGAGGAAAAAAGAAAAGCAATGCTTGGAAACCACCTCTAGAGATTCTGTTAGTCTGGGACCTGCTCTAAACTATTAGTAGTTTTATTTAGGCTCCCTAGGTAATGCTGTATATAATGTTGTAAGTAATCAAGTTTCATTGAGAAAAGGAGGAAAGAGATTGGTTAAGAAGTGAATTGATTGCAAAAAGGAGGAAGGTAACTTTTACATAAACTTTTATTGATACATATGAGCAGGAGAGCAATAGTCTGTGATCAAGCTTACTATTGACCTTAGAATATGGGAGAGAGAGTTTCTGGCATTACAGCAATAAATAACATTAGATAGCTACTGATCCAAAATATGATGAAATAGAATTTAAAAACTCCTGGGAAGTTGTTTCTTCTCTTGACAAAGTAGTAAACTTAATCTCTTGATTAGATAGTTAATGAACTTGAACGCCCTGATAAAATCTGTTTGGAAGATGAAAGGCTTTTTTTTGGTGTGAGTGAGCAAAATTTTAAGACAACAACATAAGCAGCTGCATGCACCATACGTTATAGATATTTTACTTTTGTGAACAGAATCACTTCTGTTGATTCTTCTAGGTCTCCTGTTTTGTAAATACATAGTCTATCTTATTTGAATAAAAATGTAGATGCAGTTAGCATTTACTACTTCATAGCATATTGAAATGTTATTTATAGTGAGCAAAATGTTTTGTGTTAGTCAAAAACGAATCAGCAAGTGGGCCTTTTTGGTATTGGATAGTGAGAAATAAAATATTTGTTTTTTTACTAAGCAGAATTGCTTTAGTTTGGACACGAGGGAAAATGAGATTACATATATTATAATGCAGTAATATGTAGTAGTTGAAAAGTGTGGGCTCTGGAACCACACTGCCTTAGTAGAATCCCAGCTGTAGTTCTTTGACTTCACACAAACAAATACTTTCTTTGCCTCATTTTTCTCATTTGTACAATTAGGATGATGATAACATTACTCCTTCAGAAGGTTTTTGTGAGAACTAATTGAGACTGTGTAAAGTACTAGAACAGTATTTGCTATACACATTTCATACTGTAAATGAAGAGGTCTAAATTAAAGAGTATGTTATCTCATATGGGCTCTCTCAGCAATTAATCCTTGTAGTCCCTGTTCTATTTCCTGATAATGAGAGCCAGAATGCTAGGATCTAAAGGCAGGTGTTTACCATGGGTGTAGTGAGTATATGGGTGGACTGTCAGGTCAGTAGGTTCAGGGTCAGGCCAGGAGCAGACCTAGGGGTAGGAGTTCTCTCAAATGAATCCACCTGTAACAAAACCTCACTTCTGATTAGGATGTCAGCTTGAGTCCATCTGCCCTGTGGAGGACTCTAGTTGAGTGCTTGAGGTCCTTTGGTTTGCTCCCTGCTGACTCTTTCTTCACTGGCCTCCTCTTCCACCTTCTGCTTGTGGGATTAGAATAGTAATATCCCCAAGGAGTACTCAACATGATCTGTTGGATGCAAGAAAAATATTAGGATGCAAGAAAAAATATTAAAATGTTTGTCTATATTTTTGTCTTTCCTCTTTCAAATTATTTTTTAAAATATGCTAATATATTAGTGTGATAGCATTGTATAACTTCTAAATAAATATACATATAATGTAGTTATGTGCCCAAGTATGTTTTTACTTGTTAAGTTCATGATCTAAAGTTTCCTAGAGCACTTTTAGAAGTAGGAAAAGATGGGGCCTCTTAAGGAATTTCACAACTGTGCTCTCATTTTTCCTGGTTTGTGTGTGATAGTCTGAAGTTCGTGAAGAGACTGTCCCTTGTGCCCCACTGTGGCAAATCCCCCTTTTACTTAGCAGTATTGTGAATCACAAAAAGCCTGGAAACAGAAGCTGAGGCCTGCACTTTGGTACACTTCTCTCTGCTGCTCTTGACATTTCCTACTCCTGCCACTCTGAGCTGGAATGTTTTCTGTGGAGCTGTTGGGACAACCTATCTTTTGCCAAAGTTGAATTATCTGGGGTCTCTTTTGTCCACATTAAAGTTTTGGTGGTGGCTTCCCTGGTGGTTCTGTGGTTAAGAATCCACCTGCCAATGCAGGGGACACAGGTTTGATCCCTGGTCTGGGAAGATCCCACATGCCATGGAGCAACTAAGCCTGTGCACCACAGCTGCTGAGGTTGAGTGCCACAACTACTGAAGCCCACACTCTCTTGGGTCCACGTGCCGCAACTACTCAGCTTGCGTGCTGCAGATACTGAAGCCCACGCACCTAGAACCTGGGCTCCGCAACAAGAGAAGCCACGGCAATGAGAAGCCTGCATACCGCAATGAAAAGTAGCCCCTGCTCGCAGCACCTAGAGAAAGCCCACATGAAGCAATGAAAACCAGATGCAGCTAAAAAAATAAATAAAAATTAAAAAAAAAAGTTTTGGTTGTTTGGCATTGATCGGCATTTGCCCATCAGTATGGGTCTTTATATCCTATACCATTTAGAAATTTCTCAGTTTTTTTTTTTTAACGTGGTAACCTTTCCTAGCACAGCTGAATGTTTTTTCTTGTTTTTAATTTTTTGCGTATGTCATGCCAGTGAAATTTTTAAACAGGGAAAGTAAACTGAAGGGTTCAGTTTGCTCTCTTGAAACCAAAAGCCTGATATGTTTTTAGATTTTTGACATATATACACTAATATGTATAAAATAGATAACTAATAAGAACCTGCTACATAAAAAATGAAATTAAAAAAATATATATATTTTGAGCCTAGACCCCGCCCCATGCTCAAATGTCACCCCCCCACCCCTGCCTAAGTTCCACCCCCCACCTAAACTCTGCTCCCCATAACCAAGGCTTTTTTTTCTTCTTCCTTTTTTTTTTCTTTTAGATTGGGGTTCTATTTTACCTTGTTGTTGACTCATTTATATTTTTATTTTTTCTAATAAATCTTTTATTTTTCTAATTTTATTCTTTATACTTTGTTATTGTTCTGCTCCTTTTGGCTTTTTTCCACCCCCCCCCCCCCTTTTTTTTTTCTGTTGTGGTTTAGTTTTACTTTGTTGCAGTTGTTTCAATTATATTATTATTTTCCTAATATATTTTTACCTTTATTCTTTGTTATTGTACTGCTCCTTTCTCTCTCTCTCTCTCCTTTTGTTTTGTTGTTTTTTTTTTTTGGCCATGCCACTCAGCTTGTGGGATCTTGGTTCCCAGGCCAGAGGTTGGGCCCGAGTTCTTGCAGTCAGAGCGCTGAGTCCAAATCACTGGACTAACAGAGAACCTCAGACCCCAGGGAATATTAATTGGAGTGAGGCCTCCCAGAGGTCCTCATCTTGGCACCAAGACCCAGCTCTACCCAACTGCCTGCAAATGGAGTGCTGGACGCCTCAGGACAAACAACCAGTAAGACAGGAATACAGCCCTACCCATCAAAAAAAAAAAAGTGACAAAAAATATTTTACAGATGAAGGAGCAGGGTAAAAACCTACAAGACCAAATAAATGAAGACAAAATAGGCAACCTACCTGAAAAAGAATTCAGAGTAATGATAGTAAAGATGATCCAAAATCTTGGAAACAGAATGGAGAAAATGCAAGAAGTGTTTAACAAGGATCTAGAAGAACTAAAGAGCATACAGACAGTGATGAACAACACAATAACTGAAATTAAAAATACTCTAGAAGGAATCAGTAGAATAACTGAGGCAGAAGAATGGATAAGTGATCTGGAAGATAAAACGGTGGAAATAACTGCTGGGGAGCAGAATAAAGAAA